CTTATATAGAGAAGAGGAAAGAGAGATATGACCCGGAGATAATATGATATAGAGGTGAGAGAATAAAGAATAGAAAGAGATGAACGATATCATTATCGTTACAAGGTGACCATAGATGATAGAAACATCTCGGTGTTAAAGTTTAGAGGCCGCAGAAATATTTTTTCGAATCCTTTAGGAAAGAAAGTTGTGTCATTGGGGAGGGATGTATTACTTATATTTTATAAAGGGGCCTATCGCATGAGTCCCTCCAATCTCCCTTGGACTATGGTAGAGAAGTGATAATGTACTTGTGAGCGTGTCGCTATGAAGAAGATGAGAGTAACGTAAGAGTGGAGACGATGGAGCGAATCATTTATTGAAAAAAAATCATCGGTATAAATATCATGAAGAACAAAGACATCGAGATGATGAAATGTCACAAAGGAAAAAGATGACGACATGAATCTAAACACTAGAAAAGATGATGACAGGAGTATGAACTAGAGAGAGAGAGAAAGAGAAGGAAAGAGATGATGAAATGTCCAGTATATGTCATCATCTGTTAACAGAACACATAACAGCTGTGAACATATGTGACATATACGAAGAACAGGAAAATACACACGTACGAAAGACATATATGAAGAACGAAAGAAAAGAACACAAGAGGATGATCTATATCATCCTCTAACAGTACTATTGATACCATGATTTCTTACTGGTGCTCTCCACTGAAAGAGATTGTTCCCTTTTCTGAAAGAAAGGATTATAGCGTCATAAATTTGGTCGTTGAAATACAAAAAGTTTGCTTGTTTGCATAATCCAATCAGATTGCAGCATTCAATAAATAAATAAATGAAAACTTAACCATAGTCATTTGCAAACGATTGATGAAAGGTTTTCGTGATCGAGGATCTCGAATCTGAGGGTAGCTTCTTTTATAATGGAATAAGTGAACAAGTTAGTTCTTAGATATAGAACAACTGATCGGCAGAAAATATTAGGCAATGGTGGAATTATTGGATGAATATTGTTGAATTGGAGTCCTGTTGTTTGGTTCACTGTCACAAACAAGAATTTTTTTTTAGAGAAATGCAACGATGGCAGGATATGAAAATAGTCTTGGAACTGATCATATCATGTTCTTATGGTCATAAAGCCTTTTAGACTATCATGAATACCGATGAATGATGCTATTTATATTAAAAATTCGTGTTTTTAAATTTCCTCATGGTTTGTATCGTGTCTCCTTTGTAATATAGGTTTCCGGTTTGAGTTCACCATTATAGTTTGATCAAACATGGCTGATTTATTAGTACATTGCTTCGAAACTCTATAGAATTGGATACTGTGTATTTTTGGCAAATATTTTGAGAGTAATAGAAATAGTGACAATGCATAAATTTCAAGTATAAGATATTAACAGAAAGCGCTAATTAAAGCAAATAGACAGATACTTGCTACAGTTACATAAATGAAAATTACAAGCATAGAAAACAAATTCAACTCCGTTGTAAAAAATTTTTGCAGTTTTTTTAATCTATAGAAGTATGATTCTTGAGGTTGCATTAGTTGGTTGTGTATGATAATGGTTTTTTTCTATGAAAAAGGATATTGAAACATACTATTTCGTAACTATGTGATCTAGATGCGGAAAAGTGTACTGTTTGATGGTAAATACATTTGTAATTGCTGATGGCTTTTGGCACACAATTCCTTTTATTTTATTCCCTTGTGTAAAAGAAAGGGTTATACAGCGGTTAAATTCATGGCTCGAAAAGCTTAAAGTTTGTCTGTCTGTTTGTCCTATCCAATCAGACAGCAGCATTTCTTGAGTCAATGAAAATTACCGATAAAAGCCAGAAAGTGACTACTACCGATGTAACGGAGGTCGGAGATCTCAATTAGCTAATTACCAACTAGGGAAGTAAAAATTTTTTTGTTGCCGAATAAGGGTCGACCGAAGAGTAACCGAAGTCGGAGATCCCGAATCTGTTGTTAGTTTTTCTTTATTCGTTAAGGTGCGGCTTCTTCCTTTCTCTTTTCACAACAGATACGTTTCTGAATATTTTCTAAATTCTTGTGTAGGAGATAGTAGGTTAAGCACTATGGCTGGGTATGATGGAATACAACCGAGAATGTCCTTGTGTTTTTCGTCTTTCTGCATGAGTATATCAGAAGAACGAAAAAGAAAAGGACGCTTCGTTCGAGCACATTGGAAAAGGATAATCTTGACTGGTTACCGTAAGGCAGACATGTGCAAGGCATCAGCTTTTTGATCCAAGTCGAAGATGGACTTGACTTGGTTTGAGTCAAGACAAAAATCGAGTTGACTTCCCATATCTGGCGTCAGTTCACTACATAAGTTCTTCTATGATTCTTAATTAAAATTTTTTTGATACTTTTAGGCCTAAAATTAATACTAAACTGCATAAAACACTTCGATATATTTATACAGTTTTGGACTTGACTTGTCCATGTCTGCCATAAGATGTGTGCGAAGATAGTTGTTTAGATATTTGCACCAAAAGACTTTAGTATATCTCATATGATGATATTTACAATTTAAGAGATCAGAAGAAATAGTATGAAGTTAATAGAGTTTTTTTTCACGCTGCAACACATGCTGTCTTTCGATAGGATTTTAGTGGAAGTAGGTCTCCAAAAGTATAGCCGTCAGTGTAGTTCTATATTATTACCTATAGGGACAACGACCAGGCAAATACTAATTTGAACATATCAGACACTATGATGGATACTTTTTAAAAGCCAAATCATAAGATAAACGTCTCTTTCTACTTTCTTTTGGTAATCAAATGCATGACAAGTCTCTAATTTAGAAGCCAAAATGACGGGAAACGTAGTCAGTCACTTTGAAAATTAATCAAAAGTGAAAGGCATAGTAGGGATAATCATGGGAACGACTAGGTGTTTGTATGAGAAGTGTTTTAGCAAATGAAATGGGCATGAGTGAAAGACAGACAAACTATGAGATGGATAGATCATTGAAATACAATAGGTTTTATTTGTCACTTGAGAAACACAGGGGAGCTGATAGTACATTTAGTAGAGAACAAGGGGCCGTCGCGCCGTATTATTTCTAAGCGCAGTAGAAAGATTTTCAAATATCTGCTGTCTTTCGGATTAAACGGATTTTTCTCAATCAGATCAACTTTGATAGTTATTCCCTTTCTGAAAGAAAGGATTATAGTCGCGTTAAAAATCGGTACAAGTTTGTTGGTACAAGCCAATCGGAAATAAGAACTTCTTAAATCATCGAAATCTACCCTTATTAGCTAGAAATCGACTACTAGATAAATAATCGAGATCGAAGAACTGGAATCTGAGATAAGTTTTAACTGGTTATTAACTATTAGTTACGTTCAGACGAATTAGGGATGAACTATTAATGTACGCAGTGAGGGTTGACCGAACGGTAATTTAGGTCGGGGAGCTCACGGCTGAGGTTATTTTTGCATGAAAGCTTTCTGTCTCCTTTTTTCCGACACATGATCACTTTTCGTAGCCGATAGTGTTTTAAGCGGTAATATGTAGAACAAAATCTCATAGCTGACTGGCGTCCGATTGCTGGATCCCCATAGTCATCAGCATATTATTGAGATTACACACTTGTATAGACAGCTATATTATAGAAATATCATTTGGTGCAAGTCGATCAAAATAATGTTTACTTTGTCAAGTGTTGTTTTCGATAGCCGTAATAAAACAGAGACAGTGACTTTTTAAGAAGGACTAAAAGGGAATGGATTGATTAGCTTCGAAAGTGGTTCTAGATTAGATGAAAGAGCAAAAATGTACATGTAACGGCAAGCAGCGAGTGACCGACCAGAAGAAGGCCGACTAGCGATCAGTCGTTGATTTGAAGTATAATATTTTAAAGAACTGATTTTCATATAAGTTTTAAGATTTCTTGGACGTAGAACTTAATCGTTGATCTCCAAAATAATATCTGGCAACTCTTTAAAGTTCTTCGTGGTGAAGAGAAGAATGAAATCTGTTTGCAGAAAATGATATACTTATGTAAAGTTTGTAAGCTTTCGATTATGAATTGATTTTCTAAAATGGCCTCATTTCTGGATAACATCTTCGTTCAAATGAAGTTAAGATAGTAAAACGAGTACGCATAGGAACGACTAGGCGTTTATTTAGGAATCTTAGAGAAGATAAAATAAGCGAATGGTCTAGTTCACTTGGTCGACAACTCATTTTCTCGACAGTCGTCAAGTCAAAGCAATTGATTGAAAAATCGTTAACACAAACAATGAGCGCCCGGAGAAGGTGGAGGTCAGAGAGTTCGTCGAGCAGATGGAGAAATGAAGATCCCGCAGCTGCTGCATATTACAAATCGAAACATTGCCTTTTATAGCCGACGACATGCAGTAACAGATAGACAAAGAGATTCACATGATATTGCTCGCAACAATGAGATAAACCCTGGACAGTAAGAGAGAGAAATTCAGAGGAGACACAAGATAATCACAAACAGAGAAAAGGCGAGATAATATCATCCGGAATAATCACTGAACAATGAGACACGTGATGATAACTAAACGGAGAGAAAACGTTTGAGTTCATCACCCTCGCCCACCCTTATTTTCGAGAAATTTGAATTCTTTTGACTTCAAGAATGTGTCGGCCACATGACTGTCGCTCAAATGAATGCGCCACTAAGCGAAAGTAAATCGAATTTTTGTTTTGAATAGTGGGAAGAGAGTCGATGAATAAACGTTTACAAACATTGTTCCCTTTGCCTATTTCTTTGAACAGATGGATTCAAAGTAATTTCTCATGAATACAGTAGAAAAGAATAAATATGACTTCAACTCGAAGTCGCTTAGTTGAAATCCAAATGAGTTTTTATCTACTATTTTTTAAATTCTTTCAGAAAAGGGTCAGCGAATCCAACGGATGAGCGCTACTTGTTTAATATTTGTTACTTTTTTCCTTCTAGATATCTTACATGCAAATGTGTCGATCCAGATTTCTGAACTATAAAATATATTGCTTTAAATAATAGTACTGAACCAATTACTACGATGCCTCTATGCAATGCAACTGATTTATGTTATGAAGAAGTAACTGATTGATTTCAACTGAGTGTCGAACTTTGAGATCTTTAGTGTTCCAATGAAATACATAATTGTACATCCACAAAGTTTAATACAGGATTTTCGTCACCTACAGCACCATTTTCATGGATAATAGATGATATTAAAGAGTTTGTAAATTCGTTGAATGTACCATTATCAGAGAATTGGGAGGAATCACGGCGAACAGAAATTCCAAATAGTTATGTTCCTATTGATTTTGCCTGTGAATCATTTATGGTCGAACGTTTCGAGCAATCATAATCTATCAGTTTTGTAGATCTGATTTCTACTATTGGTGAACGTACAAGTCTATGGATTGAGATCGGTTCTTTTATCATCAATGGAAATTATCGAAATGCTCAATCGTCTTATTCGATTTCATGGTTGTTCTATTACGCCAAAGAATAGGATCCGAATATAATATACACTTTTAACTAAATCATAATTAGCGCCATTTTTATGTATACATTATCACCAGTCCCCAGTAGTTTACAAGTGAAATATTTCATTTTTCTTCTCACTTTATTGACAATGTTCTTTTAAATAACTATACTCAGAAAGAAAATTACCTTATTTGGATAAAGAATGACAGAAACTTGAAATATTTTCTAACTCTTATCGCTTAACAGGTGTCCGATACAATGGAACCATGAGCTGCCTAATTCGAGTTATAATATAAATGAAGATTCTGCTGCTTGTTGAAACTTCGAAAATAAATGAACAGAAGAAAAAGTAGACCTTTTGTTTATAGTAGAACTAGTTGTAATTTTGATTTGATATATTTTCAGTTCATCTATATGATGCTGAATGCTGGTAACAGTCAAGAATGTCCTTTAGAAAATGTCCTTAGACGAAATATCCTTTTTCTTTTCGTCCTTTCATATAAGCTATATATGAGAGGACGAAAAGTCAGAGGACATTTTGTCCGAAGACATTTTCTAAAGGACATTCTTGAATGTATTCTATATGCTTTCCTGTAGATATAGAAATTGTTAGAAATAGATAGGAATAGATTTGTTTTAGTCTTACTTAATTATAACTCACATATACAGGTGCATCTATGTTTAAATATGAAGTGTAGGTATGAAATAAGTAAAACTATGTCCTCCTCCAACGCCAATTTTATGCTCAGATATATTTTTGAAATCTTCATTTATATTCGAACTCGCATTAGGCAGCTACTCAATGGAACCTATGAATTTAACAGAAATCTAAAAAGCAATTGTAGATGAATAATTGAATAAGATGAAACAACTTGCAGAAAAGATGCTTTAATAGACATGAACACAGCAAACTGTGAAAATGACGAACATTTAAAATAAAGATTGGATCATGTTATTTTCAAATTTGCGTTAATGTTCATTCATGTAATTCTGTATGATATTCTATTTTCCACACTCTGCACCATTTTTACTACTGACTTTGCCGTTGCAGCAACTTCTATAATAGGTATCATAGCCTTCTTTTCCGCAGCATTGTAGTTTCTGTCCATTGTTCAGTGTGCCATCGCAGCAGGTTGTATAATAAGGATCATAACCCTCCTTTCCACAACAATGAAGTTTCTGTCCGTTGTTGAGTGTACCATCGCAGCAGGTTGTATAATAAGGATCATAACCTTCCTTTCCACAACAATGAAGTTTCTGTCCGTTGTTGAGTGTACCATCGCAGCAGGTTGTATAATAAGGATCATAACCTTCCTTTCCACAACAATGAAGTTTCTGTCCGTTGTTGAGTGTACCATCGCAGCAGGTTGTATAATAAGGATCATAACCTTCCTTTCCACAACAATGAAGTTTCTGTCCGTTGTTGAGTGTACCATTGCAGCAGGTTGTATAATAAGGATCATAACCTTCTTTTCCGCAGCATTGTAGTTTCTGTCCATTGTTCAGTGTACCATCGCAACAAGTGTAGTATGACGGGTCATATATTTCCATACCACAGCATTGCTGCTTAGCTCCTCTGTTTAGCTTACCATGGCAGCATGTATAAGATGATGGATCGTATGTTTCTGTACCGCAGCATTGTTGTTTGCTTCCGCTACTAACTTTACCATTGCAGCAAGTGGAGTATAGTGAATTGTATGCTTCCGTACCACAACATTCTAGAGCACTTCCACTACTTAGTACACTATTACAGCAGGTGTACATTGATGAATTGTAGATTGTTGTTCCGCAACACGATAGTCCTTTTTGTAATATGAGTACTCCATTACAACAACTATACATTGATGAGTTGTAAGCTGTTGTGCCACAACACGATTGATTATGACCTAACGTGAATACGCCATTACAACAGGTGCCGACTGATGAACTGTAGGCTGTTGTGCCACAACATAATTTTCCGCGTCCCAAAGTGAGTGCTCCATTGCAGCAGGTGTAAATCGATGCATCATAAGTTCCACATACACCATTTCTGCGCCTTAATTTAGAAGAAAAAGTGATTAAATTTGACGGGCGCAAAAGTATCCAGTAAAATCTGATTTGTTCATGGCTTAGGCCCATTATGATATGTACTCGTTTCGGAAATAAATACTTACGTTGGTTGTCCTTCGAACAAATTCAATACGAGAGTCTGATCATCATTCTTACGAAGTTCCGCTGCGATTATTTTATCATTCACAAAACTGAAAATAAGTACTGTCAATATCCAGGCGAACGATGGCTTGTATTGCATTTTGCTTAGTAACAATGGATTTCCATGCATTTGAGAATGGATTTTTTGCTTTAAATAGTACTGGGAATGATTTATCTAAGCTTAAGTCTCTGAGTGCTATATTTCTTCATTAAAAATAAATAAATAAATATGGTATTAAAGAGCTATTACATGACGATATTTGACATTCAATCTAGCATCAAATATTGAGAAATCAATTAATGACGACTAGGCTTTAATAGAACTTAAGTTTTCTAATATATTGCTCTATGAAAAAATTATATTTTTGAATGATTCAGTATATACTACCATATATCCGTACTCTTAAGGGGGTTGAGGGTGTTGGGTGAGGGTGAGGTTAGGCGAGTTTGAGTGAGATTAGGTAAAATTTTTTTCTCATTGGAAACGGTAGAGCTGCTTGAGCTGTTTGTGGGAAAAGTGTTGGGATGGTAGTTGGTAACAAAGACACGAATTCATACTGATTTTCTCGAAATTTTTATGTTTTACATCATCCAAATTCAGTTTCACGCAGGGAATTTTTGCGAGAAGATTTTTTTTCGGGGACAGAATATGTCATCCGGTGGACATAAGCATAGCAAACATATTCATAGAAAAATTGATTTTTGAAACGATTTGTTCAAATACGGGACTTGGCAAGAATTACTTTTGGCACTCAGCCGAAAATGCATTAAAAACACGTAGGATATCTTTCCGCCCGATTCGAGTTTTTCCAGGACTTATTTGTCCTCGTATGTATTCCAACTATTCCAACAATGATCACAGATATAACTCGATGAGCTCTATCGATTCCAATCATGAGATTTCCCATAACTCACTTTCTTTGTCCCGAAAAATGGGAAAAACCGCCCGAAATCAACAAAAATCAAAGAAAACCCCTGACCGATTCGCTTGAGTGATATCTGATATCATTCCAAGCATGATTCCAAATCAAACTCGATGAGTTCTATCCATTTCACACCTCATTCACGAATTTCGAGCACTTTATCAGTGAGAAATCGCATAATTACTGTATTCACAGCATACGAAGACAGCAACAAAAAAATACATTGGTTTATTTATTTGAACCAATAGGATATGAGAATATGTTTTATCACGTATTCATACTCATAGAATATACAAAATTTTGTTCTAAATAATTTGTAGAATTTTTGTATTTCACGGGCATACAAAAGATGGTACTTGTTCACTTTAGACACTGTGCAGAACAGGAAAGAAAAATTATTGGAGAGAGAGACGACCAATCGAATGTATAGAACGAAAAAAGAGAGATAAAACGATATAGATAGACACTGTAGATGACAGTATAATGCTGTCACAGAAATATGATTGATAAGTGATGCATTTGATAATTGTTTAATCTTCTTATATTAATATAAAAATAAAAAGTATCTAATTAAAGAGAATAGAAAAGAAGATCAAATATTTTGTCTCATAAATGGGACATGAATATATAACGACTCATTTCCCATTTCGAAACATTAAATATATTTTTCACAAATATCATTCTTATCGAACTTAATATTTATGATGAACATTACTTTGAATGATCTTGACACTTTAAATATACGACGAATTCATAAGATGATGACATCAGACGAAGCTAATATTAAATTCCTACAACACCTTAAATTACTACTTGTAATTCCTACAACAGTTGAGCAATGTAATGAACTTGCAAATCATGATTGGTATTTGGCGAAACTAACGCGACTAACTGACGGTAAGAAATATAAATTAATAATTTGTTCAAAAATGATGTGGTCATTTAGGTTTTACATTTCGATGTCGTCGTTGCTTAGGAACTAAATCTATTCGGAATGGTACATTTTTTGAACTTTCACATCTACCATTAAATTCAATATTCGAGCTTATGTATTACTGGAGTCGTCAACAAGATTCGCNACAACACCTTAAATTACTACCTGTAATTCCTAAAATAATTGAGCAATGTAATGAATTTGCAACTCATGATTGGTATTTGGCGAAACTAACACGACTAACTGACGGTAAGAAATATAAATTAATAATTTGTTCAAAAATGATGTGGTCATTTAGGTTTTACATTTCGATGTCGTCGTTGCTTAGGAACTAAATCTATTCGGAATGGTACATTTTTTGAACTTTCACATCTACCATTAAATTCAATATTCGAACTTATGTATTACTGGAGTCGTCAACAAGATTCGCTTGATCATTTAATGCATGAATTAGATATTGGATCCACAAAAACGGTCGTAGATTGGAAGAACTTTTGCCGCGACGTTTGTGCGGAATATTTTCTTAGAAATCCTGTACAAATCGGAGGTAATTGAACTAAGTGACTAAAAATTATATTTTTATTCGTTATTAGGTCCTGGACATATAGTCGAAATCGACGAGAGTTGTTTTGGAAAAAGAAAGTATCAACGCGGACGTGTTCTTAGGGCTCAACAGTGGGTTTTTGGTGGTGTTGATCTACAGACAAAGGAGTGCTTTATGGTAGAGGTTGACCAACGTGATGCACTTACATTAATTCCAATCATTCAACAATTCATTCGACCAGGTAAATAATTTTTTATAATAAAGTATGTTGAACTTGGTTGTGTATTGTAGGAAGTATTATTCATTCCGATCAATGGAGAGCGTACAATTCCTTACAAAATGATCCAGCATACGTGCATTTTACTGTGAACCATTCTGTTAATTTTGTGGATCCCGTCACCAGTGTTCACACCCAAAACATCGAGAATAGTTGGATGAGGGTGAAATGTCGTCAAAAAAAGTATCTGGGTATACATCGTACTTTATTATCTTCTTACCTACAAGAATATATGTGGCGGCAAAAATTCGGTGAAACTCCTTTTAAACATTTGGTTGAACAAATTACTCAGATTTATCCTGTTTGATCAGTTTTTATTTGCTTATTTATTTGTATGAATAAAGTTTTTTGACATTAATGCTTATGTCATTTTCGAACAAGCTGTACAGGGAGGTCATCTACAATGTCTATCTATATCGCTTTATCTCTCTTTTTTCGTTCTATACATTCGATTGGTCGTCTCTCTCTCCAATAATTTTTCTTTCCTGTTCTCCACTGTGTCTAAAGTGAACAAGTACCGCAGTTGAAATGAGGAATATGTATATCATACATTCACGATATTCGTGTTTATATTGCATATTTAACATAATTTCGAATGGAGATAAATATCTGGCTGACATAAAATTACATGAAACAAAACTACGTAAGAATAGAGAAACAGAATTGTGTATTAAAGAAAATTAAAGAGGAATCATATCATCGATTACATGCTCAAGATTGTTTATTTTTCGTTGTAATTTATGTTTAATAAATTTTAGCGAGTAGATGAATATAATCAATAAAATAAGACACACGATGGATATTATAGATATTGCGATGTCACGAATCAGTTGTTTTACAGTGAATGTTTTCGAAGAATAAGACGGAATAAACTCGTTGAGTAAATTTTGGTACTGGTTCCGATACGATAATATTATTGGATGTTCGTGTTCTTTAATTGGGACGAAGAAATGTGTCCATTATTTCACATGCAAATGAGCATTTCCTAGAATATTTACTCGCTTTTCGTCACAAGATATAGGAGACAACTGGAAATTAGCACAAGCAATTGTGTTATTACATGGTAAACGTACGAGGTCAGCTTCTTTGGCAGAAAGCGTGTCAATCATACCATTTTGATAAGAGATTTTACAGTATATTCTATTCTCAACATTGTAAAAGTACAATATTCCGTCATCAATTTGTATTAAATTTGTTCTATATTTTGTGATCGAATGACTGAACATTTACTATTCGCAATCAATTGATGATTGAACAATTCATATAAATACGAGTAGCTACCTAATTCGACTTATAATATAAGTGACGAATTCCTAATACACTCCTACACATACTCAGGAATAGATGACGATAGATTTCGTTATACATAGTCTCAGGAATACTCTTAGTCGAGCTATATGTCAGCCTATGTCCAGCAGTATACACAAGTATAACTAAATCTATCCCTATCTATTCCTAAACTCCTAGGTTTATATAGATATATATGTATTTATATTCGAACTGAGATTAGTCTATCAGATGTCCATTTGTAATATAAGTCGAATTAGGCAATTCATGATCAAAATCGCTTTTCCACACTACTACAAAAGTAATGTGTTATCAATTGCATTTATTCCAATTGTTTTTGGAAGGCTTGAATATGCATACATTTCATGATTGAATATAAACGGCAGTGGAATCAATTGAAATACATAGAGTTTGGTTGTACTAACAACAGGTATTTGTAAAAACAGCGTTGAAATTACGATACAAGGGTGCAATGAAACTGAATTGATACAACTCTTTAAACAATATCTCAATGCGAAAACAGATTGTCCAATAATCAATTCGGTAAATTTATTTAATGATTTGTGAATGCCATGTGCTGTGTATGAACTACGCATCCATGATAACACTGCGGTCAAAAGTAAACTTAAGTCATCATCAGATAAATAATCGAAATCTAGTTTATTGCTGCTGATGTGTTGAAGCATTAGTTCAGCTGGTGCTACACGAGCACGACGAATGTGAGTGTAACTATCTAAAGTATCACTTTCTCGTATTGAAGGTAATGCATCTGTATCTAATTTGTGATAGTAGAATTGTTTGTTAAAAAAATGACACGCCGACATATTGTTAGGAAAATTTTCGTCGTGTTGCTGTGTTTGTATGCTGTGAATACAGTAATTATGCGATTTCGTACTGATGAAGTGCTCGAAATTCGTGAATGAGGTGTGAAATGGACAGAACTCCCCAGGTCGAGCATTCCAGCCGCCGGAACCGGCACGGGACCGAGACGGAAAACATCGGAAATCGATATAATTCTGCAGGTTCCGTCTCGGAAAACAGCTGGATAGCACCGGATATTCGCCGGTTCTTTGCCGCCGGATTCCGGCCGGACTACACGAGGAAATTTCCTACGTGCTCCAGTCATTCCCTTCCACCGGAAACGCCATCGCTCTCCTCCATTCCTGTCAGCGGATCCGAAGGGGAACACGCATGAAACTTTCCGACGTATTCCAACTTTTTTCGCTCATCAAAAAAAGGAAAAA